CCACTGAGATGAAGAATGAAACACAATCTAAGGATTCTAATTGGAATAATTTATTCAACTTAAAATTATAATAAAAAACAATGGCTTAACCAATGAAAATGTCTGTACCCCTAATGATAAACTTCTATGAATAAATGCAATCTATTACTTTCCCTAAAGTATGTTCTCTTATCGAAAACAGTGATTTCTTAAGAAGAGTTTCTCTGTGGGAGAGGGTGAAAGTAATATGCAAAGTAAATTTCTAGAAGTAGATTACCATAATATGACATGTAGTGTTTTATCATTTTTCAGTTAGTTTCCAAAATAATTTCATATATCATTCCACTTGTCTCTCACAGTAAACTACTAGAACAGGTGTTATTTACCCCATTATTACTCCACTTGATAGAAGAGAAAGTTTAGGTGTCTAAGGCCACAGGGCTTCTGAGCCGAAGTCAGAGCCAAAGCTTTTCATCAATGTGCCCTCTTACTTTGGGCCTCATTTGGAATTCGTGAGATGCTCCCTTCCTCTAGGAGACTGCAAGTACCATCTTTATAGCTTAAGTTACTCTCAGAGTACTTCAGTTTCCGTTCTGTATTATCCTGTTTCAGTGGACTATTTGGGAATAGCAGTTGGTTTTACAGCTGGGAGTGAATTTGAAATCAAAGATGGGAGTGGCATGAGCGGTCTTGAAACATAATTGTTACTGGGAAGAAGAGAGTCATTTTCAGCTGTGACTAAGGCACAGACACAGCCTTATATACACACACCATTCCCCCAACTCCATGAAAAAGAATCCATAATGAGTCTTATTTATTATTTAACAAATAAAGTGACTGTAAAACATCTATTTCTGCTTTATTAACTATGCCAAAGCCTTTGACTGTGTGGATCACAACAAACTGTGCAAAATTCTGAAAGAGAGGGGAATACCAGACCACCTGATCTGCCTCCTGAGAAATCTGTATGCAGGTCAAGAAGCAACAATTAGAACTGAACATGGGGCAACAGACTGGTTCCAAATTGGAAAAGGAGTACGTTAAGGCTGTATATTGTCATTCTGCTTATTTAACTTATATGCAGAGTACATCATGCAAAATGCTAGGCTGGATGAAGCACAAGCTGGAATCAAGATTGCTGGAAGAAATATCAATAACTTCAGATATGCAGATGACACCACCCTTTTGGCAGAAAATGAGGAAGAACTAAAGAGCCTGTTGATGAAGGTAAAAGAGGAGAGTGAAAAAGCTGGCTTAAAACTCAACATTCAAAAAATGAAGATCATGACACGTGGTCCCATCACTTCATGGCAAATAGATGGGGAAAGAAAGGAAACAGTGACAGATTTTATTTTTTTGGGTTTCAAAATCACTGCAGATGGTGACTGCAGCCGTGAAATTAAAAGACGCTTACTCCTTGAAAGGAAAGTTATGACCAACCTAGACAGCATATTAAAAAACAGAGACATTATTTTGTCAACATAGGTCCATCTAGTCAAGGCTATGGTTTTTCCAGTGGTCATGTATGGNTGTTGGAGATGACTCTTGAGAGTCCCTTGGACTGCAAGGAGATCCAACCAGTCCATCCTAAAGGAGATCAGTCCTGGGTGTTCATTGGAAGGACTGATATTGAGGCTGAGACTTCATTACTTTGGCCACCTGATGCGAAGAACTGACTCAGTGGAAAAGACCCTGATGCTGGGAAAGATTGAGGGCAGGAGGAGAAGGGGATGACAGAAGATGAGATGGTTGGATGGCATCACTGACTCGATGGACACGGGTTTGGGTGAGCCCCGGGAATTGGTGATGGACAGGGAGGTCTGGCATGCTGCGGTTCATGGGGTCGCAAAGAGTTGGACACGACTGAGTGACTGAACTGAAAGTGACTGTATGTTGAATAAAACTGTGAAGAAATGCTTTTTAAAAACCATACTTGGTGAATTAGGAATTGAGATGGTTACTTTAAACACTTAGGAGTAAAGTATGGCTGTGGCACAATAGGTATTGAGCTGTAGTTCCATCAATAGAAGTCATGACACTAAATTTTTATGTGCTACCATAGCAAATTTACCTTCTAATTTTCATGTTTTGAATACTTAATTTTCCATTTTTCAATTTCGTGAGAAGAAATATCTCCTACCATCATGGTAATAGTGTCCTTAGATTGCTAGAAAGTTAATACTATTCAAGTTTAAAAGGCACTTCAAGGAATAGGAACAAACGTATATCTTGCACTAGAAGAATAAACTAAAATTCTAGAGCTTTGAGAAAACATTCAGAAAGATTACTATATTTTGTTATAAAATAATTTCCATGGTGGAGGGGCCAACTGTTTTAAATCTTTCTTTAGGATATAGTTGGGCCAAAGAAATGTTCTTCCACTTAGTTAACAAAACAAAACAAAACCACAAGCTCAAAGCTCTAAAGCCTTTAGCAAACCACAGGTTGGGTTTGATATACTCACTTTTGAACAAACAGGATGCACTGTTTGTGAAATGGGTGGTGAAAAGGTAGACTTTGGAGTCAGACTAATTGAAATCACAGCTCCACTTACTACATGGTAGCCTCTGGAAAAATTTATTCTTTTTTCAGTTTTCTTATGTGTAAAATACGGATGAGAATCTTTAAAAGACAGAATAGTGGCATTCTGTCAAATGAGATAACTAAAGTGAGAACATCTCTTCATAATGTTTGTCTTTGAGAAACAAAGGCAAACAAGAAAGGTAGTTTTAGGGTAGCTATGATCAGCCAAATACCATATTAAAAAGGATAACGGAGAAAAGGACAATGTTCCTTGAAAACATGTACTTATTAATAAATCTCTGGGGAATCCACCCTTGATCAAAAAAATAATAAGTAGGTCAGGATAAAAATCAAGTATAATAAGAATATCCAAAAAAAGGTCCAATAAAATGATTAGGGGTTTTCAAGTTTACCTAACTGTAGGAAAACTCTGTATTTCTCTGCTTTTTTTTTTCAGCTTAGTGTTCTGTGATTACATGTTTGGTGGTGTGGCCTTAAATAAATATCATTTGAAAATGTCTCTACATAAACTATTTCTATATGCTTTTGACTATTTAATGCTATATTTGAATTACTTATGCATAATATGTCACATCAAGAGATAATAACAGTAAAAACCTACATCTTAAGTTGTGACCATTGAGTGAGTAATAGAAGGCAATGAAAACAATGCCTGGCTCAAGTAAACTCTTGATAAATACTGAATATTATTATCACAATGAAACAACAAACTTGTATGATTTGGGATAGCAATGACTCTCAGATTCGAGAGGTATGAAATAACTAGAAATCCACAAGGTGGCTCTCAAGGCTTGGCTTTTAAACACAATAGAGCTGCTCTGTATTTCCAAAGAAAATGAGACAAGACTTATGAACGCTGACCTGACTTTTCAAAGACTCTCATAAATTCATAATTAATAGATAACTGGAGGAATACAAAGCTGCATAACAAGTGGTACGTAATAGAGAATTTTACAAAGAGAAAAAAAATGGATAAACTTTGTAGTCACACTGAAAGAGAATCTGACATTCAAAACAACCTGTATCACATTATCACAGATAGAATTTAAAATATCAATATAAAATGGTAAGATTTACAGCACAATCCTAATAACCAAATACACCTTATTACGCTAGTAAATATGAAGGTGCAGAGCATATGTAGCAGCTACTCAGCAAATATCAGTTCAACCTCATGTTATGCAAACAAAATATTCTGAAGTTTCCACCATTTTATACATATAGTTTTTTTTTTAATTAAAAAAATTTATACGTATAGCTTTAAACCAAGGCAAAATTTTCTGCAAACGGATAAAGGGCATTTTTGGTTTTGTGAGCCATACATCTCGATAGAAAGTACTCAATTTTTCCCCATTGTGTAAAGACATCCATAGAAGATAAAGGAAGGGCTCTGACTGTTTTCTAATTAAACTAATTACAAAATTTGCCACCTTTGGCCCTCAGGCTGTAGTCCACTCTATCTAAATCATTATTCGATATGAGTAAACAAAATCTTTGGTAAATCTCTGAATACTAGCAATACCCAAATAACATATAGATGTGCTTCTCAAACTATCATGTGCAGAAATCCTCTGGGGCTCAAGCAGGAATGCAGACTAGGAGGTGTAAAATCACGGCAGGGCTGGGGGGCTGAGGCTTTGCCTTTCTAACAAGGACACAGACTTTTCAGGCCCTTTGAGTATATACTGAATAGCAAGGCAGTTGTTCTGAATCTTTTGGGTCTCAAACGTGCACTCTAAAAAAGAGCTTTTGTTTATGTTATTTACAGGGAATTCCCTGGTGGCTCACAGGGCAAACAATCTGCCTGCAATGCGGGAGGCCAGAGTTCGATCCCTGGGTCGGGAAGATCCCCTGGAGAAGGGAATGGCTACCTACTCCAGTATTCTTGCCTGGGAAATCCCATGGACAGAGGAGACTGGTGGGCTATAGTCCACGGGGCTGCAAAGAGTCAGACACGACTCTTTCCTCCTCAATGTTATGTGGCAGCATGCATGGGCGGGGAGCTTGAGGGAGAGTGGATACATGTGTATGCATGACGGAGTCCCTCTGCTCTCCACCTGAAACTACCGTAACAGTGTTACTTGGTTATACTCCAATATAAAATAAAACGCTTTTTTAAAAAACAGCTTTTGTTTATGCTAATTACATCTGTCCGTGTTGACTCTAGAAACTTAAAAAAAATTATCTTTAAAAGAAGAATCCATTAGACATTAACAGATTTTATAATATTTAAATTATTTTATGCTTTAACTATATTTTAAAGAGAACTAAACATTACAATTATAATCACATAGAAAAAAGTACTAATTGAATACATCAAGCACTGAGATCCTTTGACAGTCAAGAAAAAAGAACTATAACATGATAAATCTACAATGTAACTTATTGGAAATTAGAGACCATGAATCTTTCACATATAAAATATCTGGCACATTATGTGTTTTAGTTCTTGTATTGTTTTGTCATTTGTTCCCTACCTGTTTTTCTGCATGTCCATAATCAGGTCCTTGAGTAGGTAAAAAGTAGGAAATCTGGCCATTATTCTTGGCTCTCTCTATTAGAGACATAGCTGTTCTTACAGTGGCATTTCGAGCATGTACAAACACCATCACCTAAAATAAAGGAAAACAGTGGATTTAATATTCACCTTCATTAAGAGATAGCTTAGTATTGGTCTGGAAATCACAATATATAAACAACTAATAACTTTTCAAAATAACCCCCCAGTTTATGAACATGTCAACATTTGCTTATTTTAGAACAAATTCCATTTGGATAAGGGCAAGTTAAGTAAAAGTCAATACTATGGTTTTGTTTATCATTAATCCTAAAAATAGGCAGAAGTCAAAATGAAATTAATGGATTATATAAAATGTGAAATTTGATTTATGCATTTTTCTTCTGAAGATGTGATTCATTAGCACAAGCATATCTTATGAAGACAGAGTATAAAAACATTCTAGAGCCTTATTCTCCCTAGTCAATGAAACTGCCAGTATCATTAAGATGTTTAAGGAAATTGAAAACAATAAAGATCACTCTTCTTTGGATGAAATCGTGTCTAAGAACAACCATTTAAAATAGAGTTTAGGGGACTGCTGGAGAAGACAAAGCTTCTAGAGAAGTATTTGGCATTTTCTGTTGTGGCAGCCTTTCTACAAAGTGACAGTGGAAATCTGAATTAGGGGAAGTTCAGTGTCTGGATGCTTTGTCAAGAGGAAAAGGATAAAAGTTCTTTCAGGGATAGAAGTCAGGCAGAATGTGAAGGCAAAAAAGAGAGTAAAATCAGGGAGTGACTGGCAGTCTGCATTTGCTGCCTATCAGGGCCTGCCTTCTCTTCTATGTGATGTTTCTTCTTCGGTCTCCACTTTCCTGTCCCCTCCCTTCATAGTTCAACCCCAGCTTTCCAAAAGAGCCATGACTAATTCCTGATTCTTGCCTCTCTTTCCAGTATCTCTCCATGTTTTCCTGTCAACTGTGTTTTCCCAGAAGCTGGAACTTTGCTGTTATCTCAGGCTACACATTTAGAAGGATATGTAACAGACTGCTTTCAGTCAGAAAATTAATAGGCTCATGGGAGTTGACCTTAGTAAGAGATCATTTTGAGGACAAACAAAAGTGAAAATGGGAAGGAGGTCTGGTATCTGACCTAAAAGGAGCCAGAATGATATAGATCTAGAGCTCATGCTATATAATTAACCTATAGTAACCTTATAATGCGTCGGCCAAAAAGTCTGCTCAGGTTTTTTCGTACCATCAAATGGCAAACCTGAATGAACTTTTTGGCCAAGGCAATGATTAGCCCACAGTAAACTTGTCAAAGGGAATGTTTCAGATATGGGATCTGATAAAATTCATAGTGAAGTAAAATCTGAGATAACCATTGTTCAAGAAACTGGAATAATTAAGTGACACTCATTTAGGGTGTATTAAAAGTAAAGGAGAGTGGGTATTCTGGAGAAGAAGAAGTTACTTAATGAAAATCTCCCAAAGTGTTTAGAGAAAATAGAACCAGCATGCTAGGTCATTTGGTAAAATTTAACATAAGTTAATGACAGCCTTCAAGGACATAAAGCTGGAGTGTTTACACTTTAATCAGTGTTCTAAGGAATGGGCAAATTTAACTCAGACGACCATTATATCTGCTACTGTGGGCAAGAATCCCTTAGAAGAAATGGAGCAGCCCTCACAGTCAACAGAGGGGTTGAAATGCAGTACTTGGATGCAATCTCAAAAAAACAGAATGATCTCTGTTAGTTTCCAAGGCAAACCATTCAATGTTACATTAATCCAAGTCTATGCCCCAACCAGTAATGCTGAAGAAGTTGAAGTTGAATGGTTCTATGAAGACCTACAAGACCTTCAAGAACTAACACCCAAAAAAGATGTCTGTTTAATTATAGGGGGCTGGAATGCAAAAGTAGGAAGTCAAGAAATACCTGGAGTAACAGGAAAATTTGGCCTTGGAGAACAAAATGAAGCAGGGCAAAGGCTAACAGAGTTTTGCCAAGAGAATGCACTGGTCATAGCAAATATCCTCTTCCAACAACACAAGAGAAGACTCTACACATGGACATCACTAGATGGTCAACATCGAGGTAAGACTGATTACATACTTTGCAGCTAAAGATGTAGGAGCTCTATACAGTCAGCAAAAACAAGACCAGGAGCCAGCTGTGGTTCAGATCATGAACTCCTTACTGTAAAGTTCAGACTTAAACTGAAGAAAGTAGGAAAAACCACTAGACTTTCAGATATGACCTAAATCAAATTCCTTACGATTATACAGTGGAAGTGACAAATAGATTCAAGGAATTAGATCTGATAGAGTACCTGAAGAACTATGGATGCAGGTTCATGACACTGTGCAGGAAGCAGGGAACAAGACCATTCCCAAGGAAAAGAAATGCAAAAAGGCAAAATGGCTGTCTGAGGAGGCCTTACAAATAGCTGAGAAAAGAAGAGGAGCTAAAGGCAAAGGAGAAAAGGAAAGATATACTTGTTTCAAAGCGGAGTTCCAAAGAACACCAAGGAGAGATANAGTAGTCATGTATGGATGTGAGAGTTGGACTATAAAGAAAGCTGAACGCCGAAGAATTGATGCTTTTGAACTGTGGTGTTGGAGAAGACTCTTGAGAGTCCCTTGGACTGCAAGGAGTTCCAACCAGTCCATCATAAAAGAAATCAGTCCTGAATTTCATTGGAAGGACTGAGGCTGAAGCTGAAACTACAATATTTTGGCCACCTGATGCAAAGAGCTGACTCACTGGAAAAGACCCTGGTGCTGGGAAAGATTGAAGGCGGGAGGAGAAGGGGATAAATAACAAAGGATGAGATGGTTGGGTGGCATCACTGACTTGATGGACTTAAGTTTGAGCAAGCTTTGGGAGTTGGTGATGGACAGGGAAGCCTGGCATGCTGCAGTCACACTGAAGTCCATGGGGTCACAAGTAGTTGGACATGACTGAGTGACTGAACTGACTGACTGAACTTATTTTCTGATACTAATGTGATTTGAAAAGAAATATTATCATAAGCATATTTCTGAAGGGAATGATAATAAAATGTATTTCAGTAAGTTTCATGGATACTTAGAAATTGTTTTGATTTCCTTATTCTAACCCCCCCCCCCTAAAAACACACAAATCAAAAAATAAATCTGCTTTTCATAGGCTTTCTAGGTTTCTGAGGAGTCATCTTTACCTCAGAGCATGTCAAGGATATGCTGACATTATGCTCATTATGATATTTTCATAATTCCTGACACAAATTGTTTAATACTAATTTATGTAGAATACTCTGTTAACCATAATGCCATGCTGAAGCTTCACCAATTTATATTCTGTCAAATCCCACCATCTTGTCTTCTTAAAGATAAGGGCATTTCATCTATGAATTTCTTTTTAAAGGGTAAGTAAGGCAGACTTTTTTCTTTTATATAAAAATATATTTGACCACACACAAAATCTCATTTACCCCAACATTAAATTTTAAGAAAATCTCAATTAGAATAAAGTTATATTTTATTATTTTACTTACTTAAATTACTTAAATTTTATTAATTTGCTTAAACGTTTCTGGGCATGCAGTCACTATCAAGCCCTGAGAAAACTGCTGTGAAAAAGACACAAAGTCCCTATCCTCATGGAGATGGGAATCTTGTGTGATAGATTAAATAAACACAAAATTTTTTTTACTTAATATATATTTATTGGCCGTGTGTGTGTAAAATACTGTTGGGAGACATATGAAAATGGATAAGGCATGGTCCCTTCTTCTATACAATTTAAGGAGGGAGATAAAACTGGAAATAATTTAGGGAACTGACCCAAAAGACAGATAAAGTGTGGTAACAGCAATGCTAAATGTGGAGCTAGTTGGTTTCCTTTATTCATTCATGCCAAGATGTATACACATACCTAATGAGTGCCAAACAGTGGCCAAAGCACCAGGGAAACCTTAAGAAATATGTTCCAAGGCACCAAATTGGAACACACACTGTTACGCCAAGATAGAATCGCTAGGAGTTGACCCTAGCTGACTAGGAGCTGGGTGCAATCTGCATGGAAAAAGCTATGGTAGTCTACAGAGTATTTAGCATTGGTGGTTTCAGTGTTAGCTTGAAGAAGTAGATTCTCTTTCGAAGTTTCTTACACTGAGGCCTAGGGGCCACTTCCTCAGAATTACTGCTGGGGCTTGTTAAAATAGATTTCTCAGTCCTTCCCTAAAACCAACTGAGTAAAAATATCAAGCAGTAGGGGCAAAAAACTGAATTATTAACAACTATTGAGATCACCACTGTATTACTGTGTGAAAACAGTTAATGATTACCACCAATTTAGTTTTCTTTTTTAAAATTAAAAGGAGTTCAAAAGGAAACATAAGTAAAATCACCACTACAAAGATTCCCTAATAACCCATCTTTATTTACCTATACATATGAAATATCAGATATTATTAAGATATTTTATATAATTAGTATTGCCCCAAAGTCATTTTCCAGATGGGCAAGATTTTTAGAATACAACCAGATTTCTATTCTCCATAAGTCAAATACCATATTATGTAAATCCTGTTAAAATAACAGATATGGAAAACATAAGGGAAAATAAAATATGACCCTAAATCTTCATTAATTATTTCAGTCTGACTTGTCAACTTATCATTTTGCAAATTATTTTCTACTGCAGCCAAGAGAAATATTAGTTACAACTTAAAGTAGCAATTTCTTTTTATTAAAGAATCCATCATGTCTTGTTCAGTAAAATAAACTCTTTTTCTTGTTAAGAAGTTTCTGTCTAGAGGCTCCAACAGAAGCCATTACAAGGTTTTGGGTCTCTATAAACATACTTGATTTTATGGTTTGCTAATTTGGTTAATTAATTTAAATAGACTCATATGAAAATGATAACTAACAGAGAGGACAGCACTGTTTCATTTGGCAGAAATAACTTCAAATTAATCTTAGAAACACTGCTGGTAACCAAACAGCAGTTAAATGGGCAATGTGTCATTAAAATAAGATTAGAAAAGTAGATTCAAGTCAATAATGCTGATAAGTTTTAATTGTTTTATTGAACGGCTTATGTTTTTAACTCAGGGTTTGTTAGGC